TTCCCAAGCTGGTTACAGTTGTAAATCCGGGAAACCCATCAGGGGCCTTCATCCCGGAGCTTGTTCTGCAGGTACGACATGCATATGTAGCTGAATATGTATTTTCTGTATATTTTCTGCAAGATTGCTGCCAATTTGTTTTTGAAGATAATTCGTTTTAGTTTGTTTTATCCAGAAAATATCGGATCTCTGTAAAAGAGCTGGTGCATGGCTTGTTGTAGACAATACATATGAGTAAGTACCAAGGTTTTGTGTTTTCCTATCACTTTGAGACTTGAATCTTATTCATTGGGATATATATATATATATATATATATATATGTATATATATATATATATATATATATATATATATATATATACATATATATAGTCCAGATTGTTCAGTGGCAAAGGAATGTTAAGGAATACTTCACAAGATTTTGGTACTGTTCATTGTACTTGAATAGAGATGCAAAATGCAGCCTATATACCAGTGAATCCCATAACAGTTACACAGCAAATTGGCACAAGCCGCACAACAAAATTGTTTCATGGCAAATTGGTTTGGAGCTGTGTGCAAGCCTATATGTAATTTGATAATAATGCTTTTCTTTTTTCTTTTTCTTTTTTGTTAACATCTGAGATCCATTTCACTAATTCCCATGTGTTCCATATGGAAGAAGATTTATATCCATATAAGGGGTAATATCGCTAGGAAATCATGTCTTCTAGGATACATATGAATTAGCACCCAAATATGCTTTTATTGAACAAGCAGATGATTTCACAAAAGTGCATTAGGGTAATCTCAGAAGTTGTAGCTAACATGATGCAAAAAAGTTTATGTATAAAAATGAATGTTTGTTGCATTTTTTTTGTTTTTTTCTTTTTAGTTTAGGGTGCAATTGTGAATGTGAAACGTTTTTCCATGTGATTGCAACAGAACCTACTCATGACTGAAGCAATCTTCTTGTTTAGAGTTCTAGACAGTTGGACTGTCGAACATGCAGCAAACGTGTGTAACTCCTTTTACAAGATAACTTTGCACACTGTGTAATTCACCAATATATAAAAATAAAACAAAATAGAAAAAGGAGAGGATTAACCATTTATGCTCAAAAGATATGGAGGAATCATAAGAATGAGCTTCATACTTTGCTTTAGTTATGTTTATATTCTCCACAGAAATGTGTTGTCACATAAAAATATCATTTTGCCATAATCCAGTGCAATCATAGTGGTCACTTTTCTTTTGGCAAAATGTCATTTTTCAGTGATGGCTACTCTGTTGTATATTGAATAATTAACAAATGTCATAATTACATTCGTAATTATAAGTAAGCATGCAGATAACATAAACCAAATGGCTAATTAGTTGCTCAAATAACTGAATCATGAGATTCATGTCTAAGATTCATAACTTTTTTTCAGCTAATAACTTCTTTTAGTATTTTAAAGAATTTTCAACTGCAGGTACTTTATGTATGATGGACTGAAGCATTTTTGTATTGAGGATAGTCACATCGTCAATTTGTTCTCCTTCTCCAAAGTCTATGGAATGATGGGATGGCGTGTTGGATACGTAAGTTGACACCTTTTGTTGCCCTTAATTTTTGTTACTTGACTTTTGTTGCAGTATTTCTTGTTAAGCATCTCCATCCTGTCATATTGTCAAATCTCCAACTTGAAGTCAAATTTTGTTTCCTTGAGACTGCATATATGTGTCAACCAAATATTGAACATCCGAGGACCATTTGAATATTGGGTCATTCAGTTGCTTTGAACTAAATATGCAGCTCTTGGTAGTTTATCAACAATTAGCTCAGTAGTGAGATATTGCCACCAAATTTGCAGGGTCTATTCATTGGCCATGTTCATCCCTTAGCATCACCCTTCAACCATAACCATTAATATGCTTATCATATCTCGAGTTTATCTTATTTCACTGTAAATCTTGTTATGCTCAAAAACTATGGAGCCATATGTATAAGCTTGTTCTGCAATTGGCTGAGAAAGCCTTGAGATAATGTCCGTCAAGTTCCAAGTTACCACTGTTTCTAAGGACCCATAAAGGTATAGAACAACACATGTCCTGCAATGAAGCCATTGATCTGATCGAGTGTCTCTTAGCAGGCATATGCTCTGTCTGATCCTGCTGCAAAGAAAACAGATAAATTTTTTTCCCTTTCAACACCATATACTTTGAGCAGCACTGCTTACTAGTTGTAATTGGAGCTGCTTTGCTGCATCCAGCAAAAGAAATTTCTGTGTTTGATGTATGCTGTCTTTTGGACTCGAATATTATATGTATTTTGCATAACTTGCAACACTGTTGGATTTTTATCTCATGTTTCTGAAGTTGTGGATTTAAAGAAACAGAGTTAAATCTGTGTATATACTTCCTATACTAAGTTGATGATGATGATGATGACGATGATATAATCTTGTTCTATTTAATTTTGATGACTTGTTTCATAATTTATTAGTGACAAATTTATTCTAGATGCTTCATGTGCATCTCAAGTTTAGCATGGTTGTCTATTCTGCAGAACATTGTGGCTAAACCTTGCATATGATCTCACAGATAGCATATCCAGAAGCAGTCGATGGTTTTGGAGCTCAGCTTCTCAAAGTCCAGGACAACATACCCATCTGTGCTTCTATTATTGGGCAGCGTCTGGCTCTCTACTCCTTAGAGGTCGGGCCTGAATGGATTAGAGAAAGGGTACAGACCCTTGTGAAGAACAGGGAGTTGCTCGTGAAGGCTTTGGCTCCGCTTGGGGAAGATGCCGTCAAGGGTGGAGAAGCGGCCATCTATCTCTGGGCAAAGCTTCCTGACAAGTTCCCTGATGATTATGAGGTCGTCAAATGGCTAGTGAGGAAGCACCGCGTGATCGTCATTCCTGGGAGTGCCAGCGGCAGTCCAGGCTACGTACGTATATCATTTGGAGGCCTGCAAGAGGCTGACTGTGAGGCTGCTGCCAGTCGATTGAGGAAGGGTTTGGAAGAGCTGGTGAGGGATGGCATGGTTCAGGAACATAATGGGCCTGCTGCAATTGTGTATTAGATTTTTCTACAATAAGCGCCAAGATATCGATCGCCTTCAAGCAGAAAGCGATGGCACATATTGGCGAAAACCATGCAGACAGCTTCAACTGCTCAGATTTCAAAATTACAGTGATCATGTTCCATTTGCCTTGTTGAACTTTGACAAATAGCAAGACTTTGCCACAACAGTTGGCCACCGCCTTGTTATATCTTTTTTTTTTCTCATTTCAACAATGAAAATTGATGAACACCAGTGATCATTTTAGACATGTTTTGATGGTACTTACATGCTGAAACTGCTCAAGTGTACAACCCTTTGTGTTGCCTGAGAATATATGAGAAATGCCACTATCAAAAAATGGATTTACGGCAAATAGCTTATATATCTGTTGTGAAGAGGGTTTGGACAGCATAACAATGCATGAAACAACACATTAGAAAGACATGGAAGCCATCCTCATTGTAGATGAGTGAAAAATCATATCACATTGTGACTATAAGCCTAACTGTCAAATCTCTCAAGCTGAAACAGAGCTGTAGTCATACGAACATATATATATATACATACATATATACAGTTTTAAGTTCTCATTTACCATTAGTCATCTTTTGTCCTGTTATGACTACCTTCACCTTCGCCTCTTATGACCACCCTTTTGTCCCATTATGATTACTTTCACCTCTGCCTCCTATGACCACCCCATTTCTTTGTCATGTTCTCGTGAAGGCCTCTAAGGTCCTCAATTGTACCACCATTGTTGCTGTATTAGACTCCTCTATAGCATTGCTGCCTCGTCAGCAGCCTCTTCCATCGTTTCACTGCAACGACCCTTGAGATTGAATCCTCTACTCCCTAAAGTTAAACATATCATAATTTATTCTTACAAAACCATCACCAAGTCGTTGTAGTATAGTGGTGAGTATTCCCGCCTGTCACGCGGGTGACCCGGGTTCGATCCCCGGCAACGGCGATTAGATTTAGGATCCGATTATTTTTAATCGTCTTGCGGTAATTATTCAGTTTAATCATGGATAATTAAAATTAATGATATTAGTAATCTTTGTTTATCAATGTAATCATGGATAATTAAAATTAATGATATTAGTAATCTTTGTTTATCAATGTTAGGATATTTTGCTCGTTTTCCTTGTATATATATTTGGTTTTGTTAAACATATCAAGTATGGACTTGTTCATGGAGTATCCACTAATTTTTCTCATATATATTTACATGGTAAGGTCATTGTTGGTGAACCTTTACATTATAGCTGAGGCATTAGTACGGTTCGATCCTACCTCGGATGTGTAAGATTACCCGCACGGAAGGTCGGGCAGTGAAAGTCGTCGTCCGATTGGATCGAGCTCGAACTTTGGTTTCAGAATGCGGGGGTGCCCCTTTTATCAGTCGCCTCCTTCCTCATTGCTTGCTCTTGCACACAGGTCGGGGTCAGGAGGGAGATTTCCTAACTCGATCCCTCCGAAGATTTTGTTAAAACTGAGTGGAAACGAGCCAAAAGAACTCCCTCTATGTCGGCCCAATGAAGGGTTTTTATACCCTACGCCTGGGGACCAACCGTACCTGACATATTTATGGTCGTCGACCCATTAAGTGGCGAGCTCACTTCTCGTGTAGACATCGGGCGTCCTTTGTGCCACGGCGCCAAACAGCGGTGCCGCACTCGATCAGCGTTATCCCGATCTTTGCGAGACTGCATTGTACTCGGTCGGCACCATCTCGATCTTTGCGAGGCGATGTTGTACTCGATCGACGTCATCCCGATCTTTGCAGGATGACATCGTACTTGGTCAACACTGTCCAATCAATGATGTTGACCTTGATGCTCCTTGCACTGAAATGGCTGTGGACAGTTGTTAGAGGACATTTTACCAAATTGTGCCCAATCAATCATAATAAACCTTAAAATCTTATTTTTCACCAAAAAAAAAAGAAATTATAATTTGCCCTCATTTCCTATATATTTGCAGTCAACCACATGCCTATTAAGTTAGCCCATATACTATTTTTTATCTGTGGGTACAATTATTGCTTTTTTTAGTGAATCAAAGAAAATGGAACACCCAAAGATTAAGTAAAAATATACTATTCTGTCCATAACCAAAAGATTAAATAAGAACACCCACTCGTAGAAGTAATATTCTAATATCTTTCCTCTCAATTTCTACTAACACTTTTACCCAAATGCCCCATTTTATCTTAAGGAACAGAAAGCTAATTTACTGTACTGCACTGCATATTTCAATTCTACCCATCTGTTTCATCTCATGCTACCCTTCTTACTCCATTCTGGGTTGGCGCAATTCGCAGACAACTATGAGGAATCACATCACGTGAGATGGTTTAGTGCAAGAAGACAAACACATCAAGCAGATGCCATCCTGTTGAAGTACCCACGCTCAAAAGATGGAAGGGTAAAACTGAGCAACAAAAAGGTCAAGATAGCACAAATATCCAATTGATACTGATGCCTTTCTAGAATCAAGCGAAGCAAGCAACATATACACAGAACAGAGTATAAAAGAACTAAAATTCATGAAAGGCTAATGAAGAACGCCGGCAATTATTATTGCTGTTGCTGACGATGACAAATCCATACCTGATTGGCAAACTCCCAGAAGAGAACCCAAATGACAACTCTACCCCAGAGCTCTGCCATCGCATAGAAAAGGCAGAAGCTCCAACTCCTCAAGATAGCAACGGGGCCGAGGAAGCTCGGACCGAGCGCCGCCGGAAGCTTATCCGCGAGCGCTGTGGGGTGGATGACGCTGATGAGGGGATACAAGACGAACCTGAAGGCAATGAAAGGGACGATAACCGTGTAGAAAAGAGCCTCCTTTGACAGCACGTTGGCGAGCTTGGTGTACAGAAGCATGAAGCCCACCGCCCTGGGCAGGTTCACCCACGTCTTCAGGAAGGGTATGATCTCCGCGCCGCTCCCGTTGGCCGTCACCACCAGGACGTCCTTGGTGTCGCGCAGGAACGTGTAGTTGAAGATAATGAAGAAGAACATCATCCCGAGGGGAATTATCTTCTTAAGCGTCACTAACTCGACGCCTAAGAACTTGGGCTTCTCTTTATCGTCGATAACGCCGTCTCCGCCAGCCGAGATCGCCGCGCCAGCGCTAAAAAACGGAGCTTTCCTCTGTTTTCTGCAGAGCCGTGCGTGAAGGAGCCGCCTTTCGTGCTCATCGGCGGTCCCCCAACCCGGAAACGATGGCTTCTTATTCTCGGAGCTGAAGCCGTAGAAGGAGGAGGTCGGGGGTCGAGCTCCGAGGCCAAGGGAAGGGAGACAGACGGCGGCGGATAGGCGACTTCTGATAGCGTGGACGGGGTGGAAGGGCCGGGCTTGGAGATTAGAAAGGAGTGGACGAAGGCCCTCTGTGACGATAACCCTCTCCATATTTGCGTGAGAGGGAGGAGCTCCAATCTAAACAAAGAGAAGCGAAGAGACAACGAGAGATTGTGAAGGTTCTATCGAAGGGGAAGATGGGGGAAGACGAAGTGGATGCTTGTACAGGGAAATGATGGCGGAGACGACACTTCTTTTGGGAGGTTCCTACTCTACCAAGAAGCCATCGGAACTGGAAGTATGGTGAGACTCCAGGGAATGATGTTGATGTTCCTTGTGTTGATGACATTGCAAATTGTGGAGTGCAGGACATGTATTCTTGTGCTACTTGTGAGGAGAGTGGGATTGCAGTAGGTTGACGCCACACGCGTCTGGAAGGGAGAAAGAGAGAGTACGTTTGTTGTGGTGCATTTGGTACACAATGGTGGTATTGTTGAGGTAGCAGATTTGAGTGGAATCAACTGCAATCTCTGGCATAATTCATCCACAAATACAATAAACAAGTAGCAGTACATTTTGAGACCAACCTATACAGAACGATTGCATGATAAACCAAGATATAAGTTTATTTTAGTTTGTCTAAGTAGCATATAAATGAAGTGTGTACGGTGACCAGAGATCAAAATTATTAGTGATAATGTTGTTTTCATTGTTCCATAGACTTTTCAGTGGTACATGTATCTAAGAAAATTTACTAGACGGGGAAGATTTAAGTCCAAGAAAACATTAAAGAGAAACAGATACAGAAAAGGGTCTGAATTCTCACCTGGGTTTCTTATCCTTTACAGCTACTTGCGTAAGCAGCTTAATCTGATATTTCCTCAGCTGTAAGACTTATGAACGCTTGTAGAAAATAAGGCATTAGCTATCTCCACTTCCTTAGTAATCTCAATTCTTATGTGCAACAAGCTGTAGGACATCACCAAACTCTTAATCATCAATAATTGGGTATTTTAGATTCCAAATCAGATAGTAGTGGCTACTTGAATTCCAACAAAAATAATTTTGCACCAGTCACATACATGAACATACAGCCCTACAGGTCAGAATTCAATCATAGGCCAATGTCTAGCAGTTCTTAATCCATCCTCTCTAAAAGAAGCTTCTGTGTTATAAACTCGAATGCTCCTTCAGTGTTTAACTTGGAACACTTCCACCACATTAAAGTGATAACTGGTACTGCTTGGACGAATACTTCAACAAAAAGAAAATAAAATTTTAGGCAGTTGGACTACTATCTTTGAAATTCTTGTTTTTCATCTTCATGACAGGAGAAAACTTACAAGTTGCAACATAGAAACAGATATTTAAATTGTATTACCAAAGCATGAGACCTCCACTGAATATGGATCCACAAGTTGTAGGTATTAGATCAATCTCATAAAGAAATCTAATGAAAATGCCCTGAGTTATTTCCTCATACCACAAAAAAAAATGTAGTATCGTAGTATCATAGACATCAACTAAAACGCAGCAACAAAACACAAGCTTTTGTTAACTTACTTTGAAAAAACTACCACAAAAAAGGTTCTCATCACAGATGTATCAGAATATATTTCTCCAAACCAGTCTTCATTTAAGAATGATGTTCATATTGTTGGCCAAGAGGCAAAACAAAATTAAAATACTGTCTAATGCTTAAAAAATAATTTCATGCACTTGGTACTCATTCAAAAGTTCATACATTAGCCGGACCTAGTTAAACCACTTAACACTACTGCAAACTAGATTCTTTTACTATGATTTTTGTAAATGATTCTTCCATCATGTAATGTCTAACTAATCTTGCTTGGATCATGACACATGAAATGCCATGGACCACCTACCCCAAACAATACCTTAAAAGTACTACTTTTTGGGGGTCTATCCTAAGTCATCAGATATCTATATTCATAGACCACTCTCTTAATTCAAGAACATTGTCATCCTTATTTGTTTTCTAATTACAATCTGAAAATAATAATTGCTGCCAATATTAACATATTTATTCTTATATTTCTGAGTAGTACCTTACCAAGCATGCCTCCACCATAGTTTCATGTTCACCTTGCAAGGTCACTGATGAGGTTGGCCCATTAAAGGAAGAATAGTGTTCAGATTAGAAGTTAGAACTCATTTCTGGCCCCTTTTTTCCAGTGAACAAAAGCTAGCTGTTGTACATCACAAGAGTTAAATATTAAAAAATGTTGCGTGGCATTGAACTCGGAAATCCATCCTGGTTTTAGGATATGTAGATTTCAGAAAAGATACCTGACATTAAACTATATGAATAACAAAGGAGATGAAACATGATTCTTAAAGAAATAAGATTGTTTATGGTTTGACATAAAAACATCTAAACATGTAAGCACCTTGGATTTCTACTTGCTTCTTTTTACCACTTTGCACCACCACAGATAGAAAACTAGAGATAATATGGACTTCTGTTAGATCTGGGTTGTTTTGTGCATTGGAGAACAGATATATTTTCAGAACTAATCCAGAAGTTTGTTAGCTTAGACATGACAAATTTTAAAAACTACTAAATATTGATTTACCACTTACATGAAGCAGAAGTATGGATTTCGTCCTGGTAGTGCAAATTCCTGATACCTCGGATCATATGGTCTTCAAGAATCTAAAATATGGTTTACATACCAAAGCATCTTAAACAAAGAGAAAACCTGTAGTTGATATCAAACTGCTTAATGCTTATTGCATAAGGGCTGTTCTATAAAACTTCAGAATATGTTCCAGAAAGGAAACACCTTAAGTAAGGTTCGGGTGAAGTTTCGGATGATTATGCAATTAACCCATACAGCATAACGAGCTGGTGTATCCCATGAAAGCTAAGATTAGCATAACTATTCAATATAACATCCTAGCAAAAGGTTTACATGTACATACATATATTAGGATAACCAAGCTTTCTGTAGCACAAATTTGCCTCTATAATGAGAAGAATATTCTCTTACACTGATATCATACAGTTGAATCCCTCCCAGATAGGCGCTTGTCATGTCTTTCATCTTCAGAATCAACATTACGTACCACACCATTTGCCTTCTTAGAAATTGCAGAGCCATGCTGTTGTGAGAGGTTCCCATTGCTAGTGACTGACTGCTGATACAGAACTCCCCCCACAAGTGTTAAAAGCAAGCAAATCAAACCAATTTTGCTTGCATGCTTATCCCAGATCAATACATTGATCGCCACCGTGAGAAACTTGTTGGCAACCCCTGTTACCGTAAATGCAGTAGCAGAGATTGTTTTCCTTGCCGCAAATCCAAAGAAACTGATGAGAAATCCGAAAACACAAGACAAAGCTACTGCAACAAAAGTCATGATATTGAACCAAATCCCAGAACTTGATCCATAAGCTGTGAAGACATCTGCATACTCCCCAGTGACAAACCAGAACACCGGTGCCATCATTAAGGACAGAAGATTATTGTAGAACACAAAACCCCATGTGTTCAGTCCTAGGTTTGTCACCATGTGCTTTATGTAAACCATCTCGGTAGTAATAGTCACCAAATAAGCAATCGCCCATGAGTACGCAGTGAGATTGAACGCTGAGTCGGTCAGCACGTAGCAAACTGCGCCCCCGAGAATAACCACAAGCGAAAAGAACGTGAGCCTTGAAGGGCATGGCTGCTTTCTGAAGATGGTATCCGCGATGGCAACCAGAAGAGGCGTCAGGGAGCGAAACACTATGAACGTATCAACGTTAGCGTGGCGTAAGAGATTGGTGTTTGTGAAAATGGCCAGGTAAAAGACGGTAGCGGCGGGCAGAAACTTCTTGGCCGTCTCAAAGACGAAAGGGTCATGATAGAGAAAGCCCAGCTTCCCAAGAACCCAAACGCCAACCGCGGAGGTCAGGTACTGCAATGCCGTCAAGAGGCCAGGGTAATCGAACATTGTGATAGCAAACTTGTTGATAACAGAGAGCAAGCTGGAACAGAGGGCATAGCCAACGACAAGGCTGCTTGTGGCAAAGTATTGCCGCGGTGCATCGAGTTTGAAGCCGTCCATGACTGTGCGGTCCGCTGCTGCAAGAATCAACAGCAATTTCATTTCAGGTTACTAGATGCCATTTAACAGTCCACCACAAATAACAGTTCTCAAAAGTCGGATCCAAAATAAAGAACAGCATCTTATAGATCAAGAACAGAAACTTCGAAGGGATTAGCATCCCATACCTCGGACTCGACAATAAAAAGAGGTTTGGTTCCAGGGGCAAGACGGAACGACTCCAGGCGACTAGATTTGGCGGGATTGCCGGCCAAGAATTGCAAGAACAGGAAGAAAGGCTCGATCCCAAAACCACGACGTAGATGAGCCCGAACCGAGAGAAAGCAAATCGAAAACCTAGACGAGATGGAGAAGAAGAAGAAAGCACGGTCTCCTTAGAAAATGTAAAGATTGACTATTGGAGGGAACCTTTAAGATAGATTAGTAGATGAAAGAAAAATAAAAAAAAAATAAATATCTACTTTAAATCATGATATTTGGATTAATAAAAAAAAATCAAAACAAAAATATAAGGATGATTGCCTTCGGCATGGTTTAATATCATCCTCTCTTTTCTCATTATCCACATTATCGTCTCTAATTGAGGACACTAAATGATTTTATAGGAGAGCTTTACTATCTCTCCCAAAAAAAAGTCTGTTCCATAAATAATCACATTCTATATTTTAATTTATATATTTTTTAAACCTAAACCAAATTCAAAATCACACAAATCATGATTATTAATTCTAACCAAATCAATTTTAATTCCTACTATGGAGTTACTAAATATTTGAGTTGAACATGCTAAGTGGAGGCGTAGAGGTATTCATGTGTTTACATATGATGAGAGTAGCATATTCTTCCCTATTCATAACCTAATGAGTTTCTCCTCACTCGCAATGTTAGAATATTTTTCAAGGGATATGTATATAATTCTAGTTTTGGAAGGGGGTAAATAATGAATTTGTAGGCAAATGGGTTAAATGCAAATATATTTTATTATCGAGGGTTAATTATAAATTATTCTTATAGTTAATTATGTTTAGCATCTTCATTCTATACTTTAAAAAAATATTTCCTTATACGATCCAAACGAAAAATACTACATGTATTGTCATATGTAGAAAATAACGTTAAAAATAGGATAAAAGTATAATTTTATAATCACTATTCTCACCTTCGTTTTCGTTATCTTTCTCCGACTTTGCTATCCTCCGAGATGGCTAATCGAGAGAAAAAATCTTTGATTAGATCTCTAAAGCTTGTTCATTAGAATGAGCTCGTTGAGGGTGGTCGTCATTTTGCATATGCTGCTTGCAAGGCACCCATGGATCTTGTTATTAGCAATGATGATGATAAATGCTTTGAAGTTACAAAGGTTATTGGGTATCTAAGAGCTAAAATAGTTGACATTCAAGAATATAACGTTGAGCTCCTTCTTAAAGAGTATTAATGATAGTACTCCCTCGAAATCATTGAACCGAAGGTTAAGATACTTATGCGATGACAGGCGAAAGGCAATGTCCGAGAATGGGTCGACGAAGTGGCTATTGCTAGTAGAAGCGATTAGAGTTGATGTGGAGGAGGGTTGCATCGATCAAGAGGTTGAGCTCCATTGGGAGGTACCGATGATATCGATGTCATTAAGGTCAACACTAATGACGACGTTGACCAAGGGGTCGTTAAAAGCCATGGTGCAAAAGACACCATGCTAGCTGCACACGTTGAGGTAACCTAGTTGCCGAAAAAGTTACAGGGGTCAGAATACATTGCCTTCTTCCATGCCCTCAAGCAGCAACGTGGGCACGACAAAAGTGGGGATTAGCGATGGCAACACCGATCTCGACATTGAACTCAAAGTCGTCGGGGAGGCCTCCCTTCCCTTAGAGGGTCAGGAGCTGACTATCACGGACAGAACTATAAACAGGGTATTTAATATAATGCTCATATATATTCGTATTTTTTGGTTTGTTTATGCTTTGCACAGCATGTAGAGGAACGGTCGAAGGCTTAACATACCTATTTTAGTTAGGTTCGGTGGCTATTTTAGGCTTGTAAATAAAGATTATGTTAGGTCGACACTTATGAAAGATATTCGATCTGTAGTGGATCATTTTGGACCCTTTGTTGTGCAATTGTTAAAAAATTGTAAAGTTTGTTTGTAATTTACATTGGCTATAAAGTGTTTACTGAAATGATTGCTTGTGGATCCCGAGTGAGGTACTTTTTCTAATGGTGCCCAAGGCAAGCGAGATGCTTGGTAAAGGATGAGACCATGCAAGGTGGAATAGGTTGCTCAATGACCGAAATAATTATGTAAAGCTCACAAAGGTGAGGGGAATTGCTAACTCGAAGAATTCGGTACTAATGCAAGGGCTTGTATGCTGACGATGGAATGTTCACGGCTATCTCAAGGCGACCGAAACTCAGTGCCATAGTGACACGGACTTAGCTGGTTTTGCCTAAGTCGTGCAGCACCCTTGCGCGTCCGTCCGCAAAGGTCAGCCTCCCCGAAGCCTCCCATTGTCCCTTAGGACCAACAAAAGAGAGAACGGGTTAAAGAGAACGCCACAAACGGGATCCACAAGCAAACATGTCCGAAAAACACTTCATAGACAAAGCAAATTACAAACAGACTTTACAAGCTCTGAACAGTGGCACAACAAAGGGTAAAATGGTCCATTACAGACCGAAAAGCTCTCGAGCGTGTCCACATGACACAACCTTTATTTACAAGCCTAAAGAGGCCACCAACCCAACTAAAATGGGACTATTAAGCCTTCGGCCGCCCCTTTACATTTTGTACAAGGCATGAACATGCCAAAAGACACGGACATACATAAGCATTACATCAAACACCTTGTTTAGAAGTTTGTCTGTGACATTCTCCCCCACTTATCCCTTCGACGTCCTCGTCG